GTTCAACAGCAGCCCAGACAGGAAAAGTCCACGAGACTCTCATCTCCAATTCACCACCCAAAAGCCAGATGTGGAGCTTGGCTCAAGTGGTAGAGCGCCAGCCTGGAGAGAAAAAGCTACAAGAGTACCTGGGCCCTGAGTTTAAGCTCTAGGATTGACACACGTGTGCATGCTCACACACACAGACACAGACACAGACACGGACACAGACACACAGACACACACACACACACACACACAGAGCAGAGGAGATGCTCTAAAGTAGGCAGAACCTTAAGTCTAGATGGATGGGTACAAGAGAGCATTCTCTCTGTCTGTCTGTCTGTCTGTCTCTACCACACACACATGTATAAGCACATGCGTGTGCTGGGGACAGGGGACTGTAGCAGCAGGATGCATCCCATGTCTGAATGAGAGTGGCCCACACGGGATGCAGACCTCTGGTAGCTGCAGTTTGGACTTTGTGGGGTGAGGAGAGACGGGGTGATGATTGATGGGCAGGCTGAGTGACCTCACGTGACCCCAGCCACCCCCCCCCCCCCCATAACCTCAGCACAAGAGGCCCATGCCCCTGGTGACCTGGCGCCCCGCAGCCCTGCAGGGTTGGACGTGATCCCGGGGAACGGCATCCTGAGCACTCAGCGTATTAAACGCTCAAATCAGAAAGTGATCTTAACGGGAGAGACAGAATAAAGGGGAAAAATTATTTCCGGTACCTTGGGGACTGCGGATTTAAATGTGTCCTGATGTTTGAGGAGAGAGGCCCTGGCTAGGGTGGCCTCAGATTCCGGGTGAGGTCAGGTGTGAATTCATTCTGTGGGCTCAGACGCCAATGATGTTTTCTTTTGTTTCCCCAGAGCATTTTGTCAGCCTACCTGTTAGCTGACGTGAAAGCCAGTCATGGAAGCATCTAGAACCATTGTCCCAGCATGGACGCAGGCACAGCCCTCCTCGCTGGCCATGCTGAGATGCTGATGGGCAAAGGGGAAGGGACACCTCAACCCCGGTCACAGAAACGGGACTAGGGGCACCCCGCCCCCCATGTGGTCCCACCCAGCTGGCCCCAAGTTCAGAGGCACCTGACTCAGCGATGGATCCCAGACCTCCCGTCGCTGGCAGCACAGCCCACCAGAGAACCCGGCGGGACTCCATCCCCACCCCAGACCCCTCGGAGTTTGCCCTTCATGGGCCCCTGCCTGAAATTGACTGAGAAACAGTGTCCTTAAAGCCGGCATCAGTGGACGGGGTAGGGGGTTGGTATTTTACCCCCTGGGAAGACCTTTCAGAGGCGACCAAAAGACACGAAGCTCCTACGGGTGTCTGGCATCTGGTAGATAATCAATCATCAATACCTCCTCCGGGACCCAAGAGAAGGGAAAACAAAAACAGCTGGCTTCTTTCAAACCTCTGCCAACCATTTAATCTCTCTAGCTAGAATGAGGAGGTTGGACTCATCGGTGCCCAAGGCAGCTCTGTCATAGCCCCTCCCAAGAAAGTCCAAGTGTGAGTTCACAGCTAGCACTTCAGGGGTTCCGGACAGCAGGGGTGTCATGCACAGGTCTTGCCACCAGAGGGTGGAGTAGAAGAGCCAGCGTCTGCTGAACTGGTGCTGGGAGGCTCAGGTGCCCTGTGGCTGATGACTTTGGGGTCCAGACTCAAGCTTCCTGGGGGTGTGTGTGGGGGGGCTGACAGTCACCCTCAGGTTTACCAGCTACCTTAATATAATCCCACACCCCTTTTAGGGTTTGCCCTACTCTGAAGTCTGCCAATCATTTCCCCCAAATGGGTCCTTATTAAAACAGACCACGTCTGTAAAGTGCCAAGTTTTCTCTTTCCAGCATCACTGAGGCAGGACCTTCAAGCTTAAACTAGAACGACGCACTGGGGCGTGTTCAAGCCCAGCGAAAAACCTGGCATCCACACGGAGTGGGAGTGCCAGGGGTCAAAGCCCCTGGTGACCCCACCAGCTGCTCCCGGGCTACAAGCCCGGTTCTCGTGCAAATCCTTGGGACGCTGGGGACACGCTCATGTGCCTGGAGTATCTCCAGCTTCTCAATAGACCCTGTCACCCTCCCAGCTTAAAATCTAAAATTTTACATGCTGTCAGGCCTAATTGACTATTGCCTTTTGCTTTCTCAGAAGATGTCCTTACTTAACTTACGGGTGTTTTAGCATGTTTTTTTCATACATGTGATGACACACTATACAATTTCTACTCCTAGAAAGGAATAAAGATTATTATCGACAGCGGCCTCATGACCAAAGCATGCCAGGTAGAAGGACTGAATTTGAACCTGGGCTACTAGCAAGACCCCATCTCAAACACCAAACTAACTATGAATGCAGTCCTTGGTCAGGGGCAAAACTTGTTTGCATCTTCCCTCCCTCCCTCCCTACTTCCCTCTTTCCCTCCCTCCCTCCCCTTGCAATATTGGGGTCTGAACTTAGGACCTTACACTTGCAAGACAAGCACATTATCACTTGAGTCACGCCTTTTTGCTTCTGTGTGTGTGTGTGTGTGTGTGTGTGTGTGTGTGTGTGTGTGTGTTATGGGTCACATTTACCCCATAGCATTATTATCTTCTAGCAATTTAATGGATTTATTTAACTTTTTGATAAGTTCAGGTATTCTAATACACGCAATGACAGTAACTTGCAACTCCTTTGTACGCCCTTTGAAGTACAGAAAATAAAATATGTAAATAATAAGAGCTATTGTCCACAACTTCTCTACAGGTGATGGATTTTTTTTTTATAGAACATCTAATTGGAGGGGGGAAAAAAGATGGGAAATGGAAATTAAAACTGGAGCTAAGAATCTCATAGACTTTCCAGTCTGGGCTGGCTTCGAACCACTCTTCTCAGACCTTAACCACTCGAGTGCCTAAGGTACCAGGTGTGAGCGACTGGCATCTGTAACTGCTGAGTGTCTAAGGTGCCAGGTGTGAGCTACTGGCGTCTGGCTCAAATTCTACCTTTGGTTCCACAGCAATCTCCACGCAATCTCCTTGAACAGGCTTGAACAGAGACTGCTCCGGCTGTTCACTGGCATACAGCAAAGACTGCACGAGGGAAAGGAAGGCTGGAGGTAGCATTAGAGCCTGTGTGTGGCATCTTTCTTGTGCTGGTTGGGCCCACAGCTGCAGGAGAGAGCTGGCTGTAGTTGGAGCAGCTGGACACTTTTCTGCGTGGATGATACAACGTCCTATGTCAGATGGGCAGGCTTGGCTGTTTTAGGCCACGGTTTGCTTTATGACGAGCCGCAAGCCGTAGTCTACGTACCTTGATTTAGGGTTCAGCAACATAACCCCCCAAATATATTGAGAATCAAGCTCATCCACCACAAACAAAAGCCATCCTAACAGCATTCGATTCTGCTGACATCTGGACCTTTCTCGTTTCAGTCTGACCTCATAAAAACTATCCTCGAGTCGGAAACGACGTGACAGATAGTTACGATGGCGCCGCTAGCAAACCCAGGTTTGCAGAGATGAAGGGGAGCATGTCTGCGTAATTCAAGCCACCAGTGAACAATACAATACGCTTCGAGCCAAGTGAGCCTCATTTCCTGAATCAGAAGCCCCCAAACGCACAGAGAGGGCCCAGCAACTGAGCTGCGGTTTGCCTACTGTGTACCAAGAAGAATGTATGAAGATATGATGTGCCGGGGGTTAATAAACACACAAACACGAGTAGAGCCCTTTTGTAGCATGGCCCAAGCCATAGGTTGAATCTCTAGCACAGCAACAAGACGCGTTGAGAAGCCAAACAAATCCAGACGTGATCCACTACGACAAACCACAAGCAAACTTGGCCGGGCGAGCCCAAAGCCGCGGAGCTCGGGGCCCATCCCCGGCTTCCGATCCCAGGGAGCCCGAGTTCCGGATGTCACTCACCCGATGACGATGCAGGAGATGGCCGTCCCCAGAAAGGCATATGTCAAAATCGACCCCAAGTTTTGAAAGAAGTGTCTCTAGGGAGGAAAACAAAGGACATGTCCATTTCAGAGACGAGAGCTGCATCTCTTCGTGCGAGGGGAAACAAAACTAAAATCATGGTGGTGGTGGGTTTTCTCCTCTTTACAGGTCCTCTCTCTCTTTACTACGCAGGCAGATTTTGGGGTCTGAAATCTCAGCCTAGTGTGTTCTTGGAGATGGAAGGGATCTATCCCCCTGTGAGGACGGAGGGCAAGGAAGGGAAGAGGAAAGATAAACAGGTGCGCAAGGTGACAGGGTAGCCATGTCTAAAGGACTTACGCCACCTCTGCATTTCTCTGCCCTCTCGTGTAAATGCGATGCCGACAGATTCAAAAGCCCGAGCTATTGGCTTCAGTGAACCGCACACGAAACGAGGTGTCCGGTTGGGGTGGCGTTCTGAGGAGGGGTGACCTGCACAGAGCCAGCCTTCTGAACTCCTTCAAGGGCTTGCTTAGAAACGCTTTCGAGGTTTTGATTTTTGGGTTTTGTGGGAGCACCGTAGCCAGTACCCACAGCAAGGGGGAGCCCGGAATTCACGAAACAATCCGATGACGTAGCTGCCAGGACAGGCCAGAGAGAAGAGCAGGCCCCAAGATAGCCCAGCACCCCCAAACCCCACAAGCCAGAGCCTCATTCTGTGGCATGGCAGATGCCAGGACTTAAAACTCTTGCGTGAGTGACTTCCGAACCTGTGGAACCCGCACAGATGAGTCGGGAAAGTACGCAGACACGGAGAGACGGGCCTTCTCTCCACGAGCATCCGTGCACGCTGGTGTACGCACCCCAATGGGTAAACCTGATGCTAACTAGGACACAATCGTCTGGAACGGCAGCGTCCAATAGAAGTGCGGCACAAGCCAAGGATGACTTAAGAATTGTTTTGTTTCTATTAATTTCTCACATTCACCTTGCTGCAGATCATCACATATCAAAGAGTTCAGCAGCTGCTCATTGACCCTGATACTGGGGAGAGGGGTGGAGAAGAATCTAAGCACTTCAAGTGTGAAGTTGTTATCCTACAACCTAGATAATGAGAGCTTACTAAATTGGCCATCCCATACAAGAACCGTCTCCCATTCATACGGGCAGAGTTCCCTACTAAATAATAACGTTTAAGAAAAAAAGATAAGCATGCTCTCAGACTTACCTTCTTTAGACTATATCCTGCATGGAATATAATCGGTGGCAGTAAAACATTGAAGAAGATTTCTGGGTCGAAGGTCATCTGCCAAGAAAGAAGAAAGAGCAATTAGTAATGCATTCCCCTAGATTAGCAGAAGTGAAGAAGAGGATAATACGCAAAGTTGGAAGTTCCAAAGAGCGGTGGAAAGTAATACTTTACATGGAAAAGCTTGTATCTTTCCATCCTAATTCACACTTAATTCACACTTTAAGATAATTACTTGGGTGACCACGATACAATCCGAATGAGAGAGGCTGATGTCCCGGAGCTGTGGGAAGAAGGAAGCTTCCGGAAGGATTGGGAGACAGGATGGGATGTCAGGTGCTAGGATATTGGGAAAGGGAGAAGCTACCTCCAGGTTTTTAGCTTGCCTAAGACGAAAGATCCTGAAAAAAGTGCCTGCTAAATAGTGTAGCTCATGAACTGTCAAATTCCTCTTGCTCTACATACTTTTCTCACTTCTAGAAAAATTGTACACCTTGCATTGTACACACACCATTAAACTCCAGTCATTTCTTATATTACATTGGCTTGTGCAAATACCTCAGTAAAAAATATACCTTTGAGGCTGGAAGGTGGCTCAGTGGTAGAGCGCTTGCTTTGCATGCATGAGTTCCTGGGTTCAATTCCTCAGCACTACATAAGCAAAAAGAAAAAAAAGCCGGAAGTGGTGCTGCGACTCAAGTGGTAGAGCGCTAGCCTTGAGCTGAAGAGCTGAGGGACAGCGTCCAGGCCCAGAGTTCAGGCCCCACGACCGGACCCAAAAAAACCCCAAAACCTTTGGCCCGGTGTTTAGTGGCTCACACCTGCAATCCTAGCTACTCAAGAGGCTGAGATCTGAGAAACCTGGTTCAAAGCCAGCCTGGGCAGGAAAATCCATGAGACTCTTGTCCCCAGTTAACCACCAGAAAAGCTGGACGTGGAGATGTGACCCAAGTAGTAGAGCACTAACTTTGAGCAAAATAGTGTGGGGATGGTGCTCAGGCCTCAAGTTCAAGTTCCAGAACTGGTTTGAGTGCATGCACACACACACACGTATACACATGTACCACACACATTACACCTCAGATGGTAAAGATAATGACTCATCCACCCCATGTAAAGCGAACCCAGTATATTCTTTTATTTTTAGAAAATTCAGCCTTTTTTTTTTTAAAGCAGGTTTCGAGTTTTATACTTCATTCTGGGTTCTTAATACCTCTTCCTTATGGTCTGGAAATTCTGTAATAGCCTTTGGAGAGACAGGAGCATTAAAATGTTTCGACTTAACCTTTTAGTTCCCTAAACTCTTGCTTTTAATATATGAAAACCAGCAGAGAAAGTGAGAATAGAAACCATTTCCGCTTGTGATCCAGGTCCCTTCTCTTACATAGATTACCGACGGCCGTTTGAAGGGGTTGAACACTGACAGCCAGGCTTCCTGGGTTCCAAGTTCAAGCCCCTTGCTCGGGAGTCTACCCTTTGTACCTCCGTTCCTCTATCTTTCTAGTGGACACAACCACAGGTACCTAATGAAAAGAGGCTCATAAGGATGAAACGAGGAAATAGCTGTAAAACCCTGCGAGCAATCATTCTTGCCTGACACCTAGTAAGCACCATCTCAGTTTGCTGTCTTTCCTGAGATGCTCAGAATCACATGGCTACTCTATTCTTTTAAAATGAGGCTTCTTAGAGGGCAGAGGAATAGCACGTTTGGAGGTTTGAAGAGCAGACATGGATCCTGAGTGCTACAGCAAGGCAGACCCGCGGCTCTGCCCATCTGGAGGAGGAAACCAAGGCTGTGACCTGTAACCTCTGGCCTTGTCCCGCAGAGCCGTGTTCACGGCTCAGCCAGAACACGTGGCCCATCAGAATGCCCTGTTCCCTGCGCGAGGGTTAACCGAGGGGCTGCTGGGTTTATGTTTCCCAGAGCAGCCCGGTGAAACCGGCAGGCTGAGGATGGCGTGCGGCACGCGAGGATTTATTTGTACATACAAAACAGATTTGTGTTCCTCTCAGACTCGCTAGAGGCCCAAGAACTGCTAACTCAGAGCTCTGGGAGTAACTCCAAGCCGAGACAATTTCTCAGGAAGGGTTGGATCTGTGGCTCTGTGGTTGTACCAACCTCCAGATGGAAATTACATGTGCCACTTGCCATTTTCTCTAGACTTTGTGCTCAAACTGTAGCCTCTGAGGTAAGTCTGGGTGGTGGTGGTGGTGGGGCTTGAACTCATGGCCTGGGCGCTGTCCCTGTGCTCTTCACACAGCGCCACCTCCAGTTTTCTGGTGGTTTATTGGAGATGAGAGTCTCACAGACTTTCCTGCCCGGGCTGGCTTTGAACCGCGATCCTCAGATCTCAGCCTCCTGAGTAACTAGGATGACAGGCATGAGCCACAGGCTTAAAACAAACCAAAAATCCCTAAACAGTTAAGTTTTTAATTATAATAAAAGGGAAGGCAGTCAGAAATCTAAGCCATGAGTGAAAGAGAGCAGAACGCTAAAAATGCTCCAGTGAAAGAACGTTCCTTGGCGTCTTAAGATCAGATTTTCATGGGTGGAGAGGGAAGGGAAGAAACGGCAGAGAATAAAGGAACAGATGACACTATGTAAAAGGAAATGTGCTTATGACCTGATGTATGTAAAGGTAACCCCGCTGGATATCACCTCCAAAACAACAATAAAGGAAATCAGAAAAAAAAAAGGCCAAATCTTACAGACAAGCACTATCCAGCATAACTGTGTTCTATCTTGTCAGTACTGGAGTTTGAGCTCAGGCCCTTCGGTCACTGGGCATGCTTGCTGAGCTGGCTCTCTACCACTCGGGTCATGCCTCCAGGCCTGCTTTTTGCTGGTCCTCTTGGAGATGAAGTTTCTAGAGAAAAGTTCTAGAAACTGGGCTGACTCTGAACTCTGATCCTCCAGATCTCCGCCGGCTTTCCACAGTTTGACCACTCTATCTAGAGAAAGGTGGCACTCGGAGAAGGTGGCATTGTGTTTGTTTTATGGAGGAAAAGAGTGAAATCCATGCACGCATGAAGATTCAAATCCTGAAAAGAATATGGGGGGGGGCAAAAAGATCAATATCTTCACAATGAATTTTAAATGTGTACCCGGTTGGGATTCGATATCGCCCGGCCACGTCCACAGAGGTAGGCTAGCTAGGTTACCCAGGTAATTTCTGAATTTGGAATGCGTGTGCCAAGATTCACTCCCAAGTACGTCAGAAGGGTGTAGAGGCAAAAGTTTGCGTAGGCTTGAGAGGGGAGACGGGGTGTGTGTGTGTGGGGGGGTGATTTGCTAGGACTTAACCTGGGAAGAAACGTCAGTGTTCTGACCAACGTCTAAATAAAGACTGGGAAGAACGGCCCGTGATCGATGTGGCACCGCTCTGTCTTTGAAAACAGCGTTTCATCGGTTCTGACGACACTCCCGAGTGGTAAGTGTAATTATCCCCGTTTTCCCAGTCACGGTGACAGGCTGGGGGCCGGCTGTGCGTGCGCCCCGCAGGAGGGGTCTCTGCTCCCAGAGAACATCAGGCAAACGGGACCAAGATAGAAGCAAGGTTTAGAACCAAGCACGAGGCTCCTGTTACTTTGGCAATTGCTGACTCCTTCCGGTGAGAGGCCCGTGATGTGCCGATCATCCCTCCAGGGTTGATGTCACCACAAATGACCGACTGCACGAAGCCGAGGAGAGGAAAGGCATCACACAAGCATGAAGCATCAGGGCGAGCTGCGGCTTGGGGCTCTCCTGCAGCTCTAACCCTGCGGGAAGGCTTGCTCTGAGCTGCCTGGGCCCTGAGCGTCGAAGGATGATGACCGTGGGAAACAACCAAGCCACAGAGGACTGCAGAAGCTTCCTGAAGAAATCTGGAAGCTTCCTGAAGCTTCAGGCATAGAGCTGGTGGCAAGGAATTTAAAACCGCCAGACTCGCCTACGCTCCGATAGTTTCCTCTTCCCTCACGAGCTCCTGTACAGCCTCCAACAGAGCACGCCGGACCCCTGAGACCCGGGTCTCCATTCGCCTGGCTGCGCACCCACCACCTTCTGATAGGTAGCCCTGGGTGAACAGAGGAGGCTGGCAAAGAGATGGCATCCGCCCCCGTGGCGATCACAGAAGATTTCCCAGCATCTTTTGAGCACAGCGTCCTGTGAATGTGTTACCGCTTACAAACTGACATGTCTTCTTCCCTCTTCTCCTCCCCAAAAAGAGAAGAAGATGTTGGTGTTACAGGTCGATCTGTGCTTGGGGGGGGGGGGAATTAGGGGTTGGGCTGGGCAGGGAGGAGGCCACGGTCATCAGAGCCCACGCAGGTAAAGCTGTCGTGTAAGCAGGAAGCTGCCGTAGAAGGAAGAGATGGAAACAAACCTGGGAGACATCCACTCATCCAACAGGTATTTGCTTAAAATAAAGCAGGCAGATGGCAGGGAGGGTTGGGGGCTTAGCAGTGCTTAGAGGTGAAAGAGAGAGGTTAAAACATATATACAATCCCAGAAGGAGGGAACCAACCTGTGTTTTTGTACCTGGGTGAGTGGCTGAGAAAATGTGGTTGGAGAAAACTGACTCAGGACCCGGGCGCCAGTGGCTCATGCCTGTCACCCTAGCTACTCAGGAGGCTGAGATCTGAGGATCGAGGTTCAAAGCCAGCCTGGGCAGGAAAGTCTGTGAGACTCTGATCTCCTATAAACCACCAGAAAACCGGAAGTGGCGCTGTGGCTCAAGTGGTAGAGCACTTGCCTTGAGCTGAGGAGCTGAGGGACAGCACCCAGGCCCAGAGTTCAAGACCCACGACAACCCCCCCCCCCGCCCCCACACACACAAAGAAAGCTGACTCAGGAGGCAGAGGTGGCGGTGCCAAGCAAATACATGCTTGGTGGAAGGTCAGCATCAAGGACAGATGCTCCGACATAATCAGCAGGGGAGACACGGTTTGCTGAGTTCAGGAAAGATCTCTAGGGAAGAGGACCTCAGACAGGGGTGGGTGGAGGGGGGGGGTCAGGACAGAAAAATCACAGTAGCAGGGTGCGGTCGGAAGTGGGATGGAGGGAAGGTCTGGCTCGTCCCGGGGTAGGGCGCTAGGCTGGCCAAACACACTCAGGATTGGCAACTTCAGGCAAGCAAGTGCTTTGTGTTTCTTTCTCAGGATAAGTTCTTAGTAATGTATTCGAGGCGCATTAAATGTCACGCACCCGGGCCAAGCTCCGATCTCAGCCTGGGTTTTTGCCTCCCAGGGAGACAGGTGTAATCTGAGGGAGAGGATGAATCCTTTCTCCAGCCCCTACCCCGACACTTCAGCCCCTGGAAAGAGCAGCGTGAAGACCCAGCGGAAGTCCTTTGGAGTTCAGAATGCAGGAGCGTGGGCGGAGCCTTTCTGGCTGACGTGAACCATAAGGGAGGGTTAGGGAAGATGTGAGCGGGAAGAAATCACCAGCCCATTCCTCTCCTGATAGCAATAATGACTTCAAAGACTGAGGTTAATATAAGTCAAGCACTTGACGACATTTATACTATCCACTGTTCTACCTGCGCCTGCGGTGCATTTTCTCACTTACAGTTGACGGTGGCCCTTCACCATAACTGGGAACCTTCTACGCTGTGGCGAGGCCGGGGGGGGGGGGGGGGGGTGTTACTGATCACCACTAACACCACACCATGAGTTGGAATCAGGTAACAGGGACCAGTCTGTGAGCCACAGTATCCCATCTGCCACCGGGAAGTGGATTTGGCTCCTCTGTGCTCCCGGTGACCCGGTCGGTCTCTCATTGGCTGCACATACACAAAAGGCTGCTCGATTTTCTAGATTGTTCCATCATTATGGTGGGCAGAGAACCCCTGTGTTCCGTCTGAGGTGGCTAATGTGTGAACTCACCCATCCCCGCCCGACCCCTTAGGACGGTAACCACCCCGACGCCCTGGTCTCCACAGATCATTCTAGATGCTGCCTGTTGTCCCTGCCTAACGATTCGCAGCTTTGCCCTGCGCTCCCAAGCCTCCGTTTGAAGGGTGAGCGACGGGCCTTCCTACCCTCGACCCCAGGTCGCCCAGCCTCCTTTTCCTTGTACACTTGGACTGATGGCTTTTGTGGGCCTGTCCTTCAAAGGGGCGGTGCCCTGTGAGTCCTCACCAGCTGTTGATTGGTTCCATCCTAAGACCTACATAGGACCAATAGAAGCCGAGAACACGGCAGGTGATTGGAGACAGGCCTGGCACCCCCCCACACCCCCCTCCTCACAAAGGTACCCGGAATTCCTTCACATAAAGAGCAGCTTCCCACCCCCAATCTAAAATTGATCTTAATTATGGACAAAAGATGGTGTGATTCCAGCATCTCTGGAATATACAGAATCTCAGCCCCATGATGTCTCGCTCTGTCTCTGTCTCTCTGTCTCCGTGTCTGTCTCTGTCCCTCTGTCTCTCTGTCTCTGTGTCTCTCTGCCTCTCTGTCTGTCTGTCTGTCTGTCTCTCTCTTTCCATTCTCCCAGCTTGGGGAAGCTGGGTAGAATAGGGCTGAGTCAGCAGGAAGCCCAGCCCAGAGCCGGCTTGCTCGAGGGGACTGGGCAAAGAGGAAGAAGAGCGGGGTGCTGAACTCAGCAGAAAGTGTGATCGAGTCAGGCGATACATTTGTTTTTAATGCGGCACTCTCCTTAAGAAAAAGAAAAAACAACAGTGCTTATAAAAAAATAACACCAAACTTCTCCACCGGCCGCTACAAGGCATCTTCCTCTGAGGGAAACCTTGGGGGGAGGGGGGGATCAAACAGCAGGGGTGGAGGGAGGGGATAAATCCCGGCCTGCCCCACCTCAGAGATAAGTCTTCTTGCTCAGGTCTGAGGCGCAGCCCCCCCTAAAGTACTTGGTGCCGCGTGTGGACGGAACCTTATCATCGCCGTGCCCACACAAGCCACTTCAGAGAGGAAGGATTTATTTCGGGGTCCGCCCGCCACGGTGGGGTGGTCAGATCACATCCTAGCAGCCAGGAAGTGGAGAGAGGCAAGGCCTGCCCTCGCTGGCCTTCTCCTTGGGCTCTGTTTTGGTCCACCTAGGACCCCAGTCCATCCGGGACACGTCTTCCCACACCTGGAGATGCCTTCACAGACCCAGCCAGAGGTGTCAGATCCAGTTCTACCGCCCAGCGACTCGCGGGCTTCCCGGCGTCCTGCCCCAGTCCATACTACCAGGTGTGGCTCCTACCTTGTATCAGCTGCCAGTGAGCTTCCTATGACCCGAGGAGAAAACCAGGAAGATACATTGGCCCCCGACCCTTACGTAACTACATAGCGGAGACCAGCGGAGACAAACGGGCACCCCTGCCCCGGCTGAATGCTTTCGAAGGAAACAAGGAAAGGGGAAATGTATTGCAAGAGCCATTTTACGTTTGATTGATTCAGACGTAAGGTCTAATGGAAAAACCTTTCTCCTTGCTGCTTCCTGTCTGATTCTCTATACTCAGCCTCTTTCCTCTCTGCGGGCCCTGCGGATCTCTCTCTCTCTCTCTCTCTCTCTGCTTATTTCCAGTGAGGACGTCAGCCATTCAGCCTTCCAAACAATAAATCCCCACCACAGAGGCCACAGAGAAATTCGTGATGGATATTTGGATACAAAATGGCCAGCAGGGATGACAGGTACCCCCTCCCAAGCCCTGGCCCGGGCACTGGGAGGTCCGGGCTGCTGGCCAACCCAGGTCCCCCTGCCGGCCACGTGCCTGCCGGCCACGTGTGAACCGTCTCTTCCGGGCCTTTCAGTGCCCATGGAAGACTGAGCTCTTCCCTACCTTCCTCTACCACCGACTTTTCTTCCTGAGACTCTCAACGTTCAACTCGACCTTGGAGTATTGGCAAATAAGATGGGGCAGGCCGAGTTTCCAACAGACATTCGTTGAATGACCAGTAGAGAAAAATCTGTGCCATTCAAGGACGCTATTAGCATCAAATGGGAGATTTAGATTCTCGGGACATTCCTGAGCTCCTAGCCGAGGCCAAATTTCTGCAAAGATGGTGGGAGAGAAAAGCTAAAGAGATGGGCTTCCGGTTTCCTCCGGTCCCAATGGATCTCTCAACTCCAGCTGAGTGAAGCTGGATTCAGAGCTCTCGGGAACAGAGCCCAGACGTGTCAGGATCGAGGAACACAAATCAGACTTGTGTCTCTGCAGAACGGAGGGCTTCTCCCCCCGGGGGGCTTCCTCAGCACCCAGCTGCCGATCTGTCATCCTGATGCCGGCTTCCTCTTGGCATAGCCAGAGAAGTCTGAAAGGAGATTTCTCTCCAGCCCTTGCTTTATTCTTCCCAAGAGGGCCTTAGGGTAAAAGGCACCTATTTATCTCATGGTCGGTTGACTCTGGTCAAGTTTTTCCTGTTAAGGGAAGAGCTTTGCCCCTGGCCTCTCTGTTAGAGAGAGGGGGAAAAATCAAGCAAAGGGAAAGTCTGGTGCAAATGGAGTTTCCAAATCCACTCCTTCATGAGTTAAGTCAAAATTAGGAGACTTGGGAAGCCTAAGAAACACAAAAACTGAGATGCGTAACTCAGTTCGTTTATTTAATGGCTCAAAACAAAATCCCCAAGCCATGAGCTTAGCTAGCTCAAATAAGAGTGTCTTTTAACCATCTCTAAAATACACAGTGACACCTATTATCTATCTCTGCTGATGTACCTGCAGCCTGGAGAATTCTCTTTGTGGAGACAGTAGCCAGGCCAGATCACTCCCTTGGTATAATTTACCCTCAAATAACTTCCCTTACCGACGACATTGTCACTTTTCACACAGGAAGCGAAGACTTGGCAAAATATCCGCCAGGCAATTTCCTTTAACTTTTTGCACGATAGTCAACTGATTTATGAGTGGCAGGAAGCATAAATTTAACTGTGCTGACAACTCTTTTGAAAACTTACTAGGTCTGTAAGACCTTCCCACGCGCACGGCCTGCTGATTTTCCAACTCAATAATATTAACCTCTAATACTTTCATAGTGAGATGGATTGACTCATGCATCCGTTTTAAGCCATACTTAGGTAGCTTTCCCCGGTTAAACCAGCTCCTGCACCTAACTTCTATGGACGCTACTCACATCACAAGGGCAAAAGCTTGAATCAAGTATCAAGAGAAGTAGAATTGCTGAATTTTATAAAAGGCTTTCAACAAAACCTTAATGTGGTTATACCTTGCAAAAGGATTATATTACAGACATTTCCTAACTTCTCAGAAAAACTGCAGCTAAGCGTATGATAAGATTATAATTCAAAGAACTGAATTACATGGTAGTATTTACTGAACAGACTGGCCCTAATAGTGTATTGTGTGAAAGTACATGTGTATGGCGTATGTGCTACATAAATGTGAAGGCTCGTATAGGATGCAATCAGTGACCGTGAAAAACACACGTTTATGAGCAGACGGAAGCCAAGCCTTACCTTTTCTAGTATCGCGTTGCCTTGGGGAGGGCTGCCGTTGTGCTGGCTTATTTCCCGCTTGTATTTATACTCATAGACTTGGTCAGTGATATTAACCAACAGAGTTGATGGACTGAAGGCCAATTTTCCACAGTCATGGACAGTCTCACTTTCAATATCAGTTGGTGTTGTAGCATACCGCAAGATCAATCCCATGATGAGTCCTAAAAGAAGAGATGCGTCATTGTAATTGAAGAAGGAAATCTAATTATTCACTCTTCGGATGCTTATGTGATGAGCAAACTTTAGATCCCTCCCTCCCTTCCTTCCTTCCTTCCTTCCTTCCTCCCTTCCTTCCTTCCTTCCTCCCTTCCTCCCTTCCTTCCTCCCTTCCTTCCTCCCTCCCTTCCTTCCTTCCTCCCTTCCTCCCTCCCTTCCTTCCTTCCTCCCTCCCTTCCTTCCTTCCTTCCTTCCTTCCTTCCTTCCTTCCTTCCTTCCTTCCTTCCTTCCTTCCTTCCTTCCTTCCTTCCTTCCTCCCTTCCTTCCTTCCTTCCTTCCTTCCTCCCTTCCTTCCTCCCTCCCTTCCTTCCTTCCTTCCTTCCTTCCTTTCTTCCTCCCTTCCTTCCTTCCTTCCTTCCTTCCTTCCTTCCTTCCTTCCTTCCTTCCTTCCTTCCTTCCTTCCTCCCTTCCTTCCTTCCTTCCTTCCTCCCTTCCTTCTTCCTCCCTCCCTTCCCTCCACCCTCCCTTCCCTTCCTTTCTCCTTCTCTCCTTTTTCTTGAATCTCTGATGCTTAAATGTGCTCCCTAACACTTTCCTTTTTAGCTATTTGGTTTTACCTCACAATTAGTCAGAGATGAAATCGAAAGCAGAAACATACAGCGCCTTCTGGTTATTTAGGGCTTTTGTTCTTTCTCTGCCCTCCCACCAACCTTTCTAAATTCAAAGGACTAGCGGGGAGGGTGGGTGTTGTTGAAGGGGACACACCGCCAGCCTTGTGTGAGCTCGATATCCACCTGCTTTGCTGGAGAAGAAAAGCCCACCACGATTCCAGAACTGTTCGAGGACTCTGCCAACAACAACCACCACAAAATGCCCCGTGGTGTTGTATGGCAAGATGGAGTCCATTAGGCCCCTGGGAGGATCATATGAGCAAAGCTAGAACATTCCAACCATCAGATTCTCTCCAGAGTCTCATGTTTACCACCTACCCTGACACCACACCACACACCACAGGACGTACACATTCCACGCACACATGCCCATGTGTGTGTAACATGCAATGCACCACGTACATCATGCACACAGACACACACACACGCATGTTTAGCAAGGACTGAGTATCGTTGCTGCACTAGCTCATCCTTTGTCTTGCAGGGTCTGTGATTCCCTTTCCCTTCCACGGATCAGAGAAGCTTACATACAAGACAAAGGCTCAGAAAAATAAAACAGAAACAGGAGGCAATAAGTGCACGCAGGACATATTGAGAACATCTTATTTCTGATTCCTGGAGTTCATGTTGCTATGCTTCATTACATGTGTCCTATTGAGATCCCCTGCTAAGAACATCATAGACATAGTCTAGTTATTACAAATGAGGGAAACCATGCAACCTGTATCTCTTTGGACCTGGCTTGCTTAGCTTACTACAATTTTTCCATCTCTTCCCATTTCCTTACGAACGGGGCAATGTCATGCTTTCTGATGGAAGCGTAGAACTCCATTGTGTATATCACATCTCAATCTGTAGACCTATGTCCCCCCCCCCCCCATGCCCCCAAACACAGCCAGGCACTGGTGGCTCACACCCGTCATCCTAGCTACTCAGGAGGCTGAGATCTGAGGATCGCGGTTCAAAGGCAGCTTGGGCAGGAAAGTCTGTGAGACTCTTATCTCCAGTTAACTACCAGAAGACCTGAAGTGGGGCTGTGGCTCAAGTGGTAGAGCACTCGCCTTGAGCTGAAGAGCTGAGGGACAGCGCCCAGGCCCAGAGTTCAAGCCCCATGACCTACAAACAAACAAACAAACAAAAACCAAAACACAGTATGGAAGAAACACAGCCTCTTCAACAAATGGTGCTGGGAGAATTGGCTATACACATGTAGGAACCTGAAGTTAGATCTTTGTGTAGAATCAATTCCAAATGGATCAAAGACCTTGAGGTAAAAGCAGATACCCTGAAAACATTACAGGAAGGAATAGGAGAAACACTAGGACTCCTTGGCACAAGCTAAACCTTTCTTAATAAAAACCTAGAAACACAACAAATCAAAGAAACGTAGGACACATGGGATTGCATGAAATTGCAGAGCTTCTGCATGGCAAAGGACATAGCTAGCAAGATCGATAGAAAGCCCACGGATTGGGAGAAGATCTTCACTGGTCATACAACGGACAAGGGCCTTGTATCTAAAATATACTTAGGGTTTTATTTGTTTTATGAGACAGAGTCTGACTACCTGGTCAGGCTAACCTTGAACTTATGATCTTTCTGCCTCAGTCTCCTGAATGCCGAGATCACCGGTGTGCACTGTACTGTCTCCCTTGGACTCTAACATAGTATTAGAGTTCTAATATAGTACTATAGACAAGGTGGTCAGGAGAAAGAGAACAGAGTTCTCTCACTAGCACATACTGACTCAGTTTCTCACTTCATAACGTCTACACAAAGCAATCTATTTCCTCATACGAGCATAATGAGCATTGTCAGTAGTGAATCGAGGGTTCTCCTGAAAGGGGAGATGGCCCCCAATTCCCTCTCCACCCTAGGAAGGTAATGGATGCGAAAGGAAAAAAACACACACCATGATAGAAAATAGAGTTAAAGCCAGGAAATCCATGCTTAATTTTCTCTTGTTGAAGTAACAGCAAAGCTTGAATGCACCAGAAGGACTACTGGGCCACAACCCCAGAGTTTCTGATCCAGCATGTCTGGGTACAGGTCCTTCTAGAAAGATGTGGACACGGCAGGTGCAAGAATCATGTTGTGCAGAACACACCCTGTGAGATAGAAGTTCCCACCCCCTCTGCACACACACACACACACACACACACACACACACACACACACACAGAACTTTCTTAAACTTAATAGGCTCTACTAAACTTTACTATGTATACTCTGGAAGGATCAGCAGACACTTGGACACCTTAATATGACATAGTATAATGAATTTAAAAAATTCTAAATGTGATGGCCTCAAGGGTCCTTCGTGCCCACTAAATGGCGAGCAAATTTTCAACATGAATTCAGAGGCTGATGCCCCTGCTGCGGGAAAGACCTGGAACCAAGGGAAGCATCGAAGAGTTTTAGGTTGCTCCGTCCCCAAGCTTAAACGTCTCAACCTGCAAATAGACGGTATTAGAAATGTCCCATAAAAATCGGCAGCGTCCGATTTTTGTTCTTTTATGAGCGTAGAAGAGGGGACCCAAGGCCCTAAGGGAGCGGCGCTAAGTACACCAGCTGTTGTCAATCAATACTTTGGCCATTAATGCTCATCTGGGCTTTTAGTCCAGTCTAAGTGAATCTCCCCATGGTTCATATTTCAGACCAGCATGGGTTCTAACCCTTCAGTTTTAAAATAACGAGAGCCACAGAATGTCACGAGAGACAATTATCCATAACTTTCCCTGCGAAGCGAAACTATTGTTAATGATAATGCCACTAATTTCTAAAAGCATTCACTGACCCTTAATAAGGAGGAAAAGCTACTTTTCACACGAAGGATTCCTGCTGTTTGAGAAGAGCATCAGGTTTGTTTCCAACCAGCTCAGAGGCAGATGATATTTTGAGGTTGACAAGTTGACAGACTGTTTCTTACAATAACTATCAAAATCAGTTAAATATTCTGCCTCCTTACTTTTCGCCTCATTTTCCTCTAGCTTCTCATTTTCTTCCTTTCTTTTTTTTTTGTTGGTCATGGGGCCTGAACTCTGGGCCTGGGCGCTGTCGCTCAGCTCTTCAGCTCAAGGCTAGCGCTCTACCACTTGAGCCACAGCACCACTTCCAGCTTTTTTCTGCTTATGGGGTGCTGAGGAATCGAACCCAGGGCCTCATGCATGCAAGGCTAGCGCTCTACCACGGAGCCACCTTCCCAGCCCCCTAGCATCTGATTTTCTAAGCCTCTGTGATCCCTGGAACTGTTTTTTATTTTTAAATTGGATTTCTACACCTACTAATTGCATATATCCATTAAGACAGTTGGCCTCAGTGATCAGAGATTGGGGAGGTGGTGGACTGGGCTGAGGGCAGGTTATGGAAATTTGGAAGAAAAATGTGGATGGTTCACAATCCGGGAGCCAACCAGCCCACCAGGCCGATGTCAAGGAGCAAGAAGTAGGGAGCGTCAACTAAGTTCATTGGGTAGCAGGGGCAGGAGCACTTTGTCTGAGAGGGGGTGAGAGGTTGAGTAGCAGCCTGTTCCCAAATGTTCTTCTCTAAAAAGCAAGTGTGAAAGCCTCTGTTGTAAACATAGCATGTCTGTTTCTGGTGGCCAGTGTAGCTCCTGGAAGATCAATATCCCAAGCTCCATCCTGGGGTGGAAAGGGTATCTCCGCACAGCTTTATCTTGCAATCCCACTTGATTGGGGGCTGGAGGGCACGGGTTGATGGTGAACGTGTCAGGACCTCTCTGTCGGTCCCCTCTCTCCTGGAAGGTCGCCGGGAGGCCACCGGAGGAATGTTCTTCTTTTTGAACCACTGCGGCCTCTTCCAAGGGAAGAGAGGTGGGTGGAATCCCAGCTCAGCCGCGGACGGGCGACAGGACCTTCACCTCCTTCCTCCCCAGGGAGCGTTTCTTGGCCTGCTGTGGGGAGGATGGGTGGGGTTTGTGTGTGTTATTCACCCAGGTGCCTTCTGCCTGACCTAGCGGTCCCAAATCCACCTGCCCAGACCCGGGCAGCTGATTCAGCTAGCATCGCCTTCCGCCTGGTGATGAGAATGTGTTGGTCACCAGCTCCGCTTCCCTCCCCCCCCCCCCCCCCCCCCCCGGCCCCGTGCTGTAGTTGCAGACAATTTCCGTCACATCCCAGAACAGCCATTTCAGATGTCGCATTTTTAGGTCAGCTCTGAAGAAGATGTAGGAAGCGCCCGCGATGCCACCCCCCCGGGGCTGATTTCAGAGTCTCTGCGTTAAGGTGGACGTGAGCCCATGAGCCCATGAGCATGCAGATCCCGTGGGCAGAGGGGTGTGGCGGAGTCCCTCAGACCCTGCAAGCAGTGTGCGCTCAGCCTGGGGAACTCGCTCCGCGTCTTACTGTGTGAAATGAAGGCACTGAGGATGCTTGCATAAGAGTCCAGCAACTGTCTTCTATGACAACAAAACTCAAAGAGCACTGAAGTACAAGTCCTTCATTGACTTACATAGCTGAAGGCACACCAAAGATATTCAAAGTTCTAATAATGGCACACACACACACATATCCATAAACATACATATTCTTCATAACATATAATTCTTTTATATTGCACTGTGTGTGTGTGTATCGGTCATGGGCTTGAACTCTGGGCCTGTGCGCTGTCCCTCAGCTCTTCAGCTCAAGGCGAGCGCTCTACCACTTGAACCACAGCGCCACTTCCGGCTTTTTCTGCTCATGTGGTGCTGAGGAATTGAACCCAGGGCCTCATGCATGCAAGGCAAGCGCTCTACCACTGAGCCACCTTCCCAGCCCCTGGTTTTATATTTATTTTCAACAAGTCTCATATTGATATATATATATAAAAAGAAAGATAGCATAAAACTCAACTCCTTCCATGCTTATACACTTGCTATAAACTACCTTAAGAATAGCAACTGAAGAGAAATACTCATCTCCACAACAGAGAACAATGAAGTAGTGTTTGTTTGTTTTTTTTTTGTCGGTCGTGGGGCTTGAACTCTGGGCCTGGGCACTGTCCCTCAGCTCTTCAGCTCAAGGCGAGCGCTCTACCACTTGAGCTACAGCGCCACTTTCGGTTTTGTGGTGGTTTATTGGAGATAGGAGTCTCACTGTCTCTCCTGCCCGGGCTGGCTTTGAACCCCGATCCTCAGATCTCAGCCTCCTGAGTAGCTAGGATTACAGGCGTGAAGTAGTGTTTTTGTAGTGCTGATCACCATGTTAAGGGCTGGAGTTTTCAAAGGTGAACAGTTATCTGAAATTTTCCAAATTCCAAAGTAAACATTGGCTTGCATGAATATAAAGGATTTCTGAGCCTTAAGGAACGCAGGTTTGTCAAGCAACCTACCTTTCTAATAAAGGCTGACAATCTTAAACCTGTTCTGTTTTGCTAATATATGTCTATATATAACATAGCTCTATCTATATAACATATAGATATAATATATATCTATATACCATAGATAGATCTATGGTATATAGATATCTATGGTATATAGATAGATATCTATATAACATATATAACATATAGCTATATAATATATATAGATATATTATGTATCTATATTATATAGATATGTTATATATCTATATAATATAGATATATTATATATAATATAGACAGATATATAGATATATATAGATCTATCTATCTATCTGTATATCTTTAATATGATGCCAAAGACTTCATTGCTTCTGGCTTCCCAGATGACATCCTACATCTATTATTTGTTAGGGAAGGTTCTGGTCTGCTGGAGAGCGGAAGGGGAGGAGGCGGCGGCTGGAGTGTGGCTAAGGTGGTCACTGAGGGCCTCGCTCCCTTACCAGTTAGCTTTTCCTCTCCTACCTGATCATAAATGTCCCCTCCCCCCAGGAGAGTTTCTAGTGCGTGCCTTAAGACTTCCCCTACGAAGGACATTTAACGCTGGGCCCTGGATGGATGGATGGGCTGGGAAGAAAGACAAATCTCACTGTTGGGGCTGAAGCTTCTGCCTCTCCACCCAAGCGTCCCACGGCAGGCTTTGGTCAAGACGTAGGACGCCGTACAGTCTTACCGTACCACATCACAGGTTAGCGTAGAACCTGTGCCTTCATCCCGCCACCCGAACTCAGGCAAAAGGGGGGCCACAGGGCTTCCAAAATGGGGAAGGGGGGGAGGCAACCAAAAAGGATGTTCTTTACTACAGATTGTAGCAATCCATTTCCACTGAGTCTCTCTCCGTGACAAGGCTGAGAACTGGTTTTTCATCCACCACAGCCGTGGGCCAACGACAGGTGTCCTGCTCTGTGCTTGAAAAGATGATCGTGGGGGGTCTAGAAAACTCTGTGGTCGCGCATTCAACTTCCGCAAAAGGATGTGCTTTGGGAGTTGCGGATGTACTTTTCTGAATATCGGATTGTGGGGCGGTGGGGTGGGTGGGGGGAGAGGCAAACAAGGCCGGGAAGGAAAATGAGTCTAAAGGGGAGCAGCTGCGAGCATCTTAGGGAATGCAAAGTCCTGCAGCAGCCAACCCCGGCTGGCTCCTATTTGATCATGCTTTCATGATAACAACACCGAACACGATTCCCCACCGGGGAGGGGTGTGGTCTGTGCCTCAGCCAGCAACAGACTTGCATGCAGTGCTGCCCCCAGAAACGTGACTCTGCCGTTCACGCTGGTGACAAGGCAAATTCCCACCCGAGGCGGAGAGATCAGCACCCATTCTACCCAGGCATCCCCCATCAGGCTAACGACCCGCCCAGCCATCAGGCAACAAGTTCCAGCTCACGGTGGACACACTCACCATACACCATGGCCCCTCCAGTTTCGTGCAAGAAGCGGAAGCGGTGGTTTTTAAACAACCAGATGGTCAGAATGGTCAGGATGAGCAAGAAATTAAAGACCAGCAGCTCCACAGCCCCCTGGTGTTGGAAGTGATACCCAGCCTTCTCCGGCAGCCGGCGGGGCCGGCCGTCCATCCTCCGGATTTGCTTAGATAGAAATCCTGGAGGTGGACCACCACGCGCGTTGTCAGGATTTGCAAAGGCAGCCTGGCACCCGGGAAGTTTCAGAATCAACACTGCGGGGCGGCGGTGGCTGCGCTCAGGAGCAGCGTTGCATTCTGGCTTTAGGATTCTGCTGGGCTTCTAGTTACCACTTCCTGTTTCTCTCTTAAAGCAGCCTCGTCTCTTTTTCCAATCCCAGACGGTGGTTTTTCACCGTGAACTCTGTCTTTAAAGGCTTCATTCCGGTGAAAATACTTTTTATTGTTTTCTGGGGGAGAGGGGGAGGTGGGGAGGGCAAATCTGCAAACGATCATCTTGGGACGTTGAGTCTAGTTAATGGTGAAACTACTCACCCTGGCTCAGCCACATGCTTGTGAGTTCACGTTTTTCTAGCTTCAGTCCCAGTTTGTCCCTGGGCACACTCATTTGTGAAGTTTTTATTTCCCCTCCTGCCAGCCGAAGCCTGAAATCATGTCAGAGCAAACCAGACCTGAAACTTCTTCACAGGAATGCTTGTCAGTGGAGAGGCACAGCGTTAGGAATCTTAAGGCTGTTTTTTTTTTTTTTCTATGCTTCATAGTCATCAAGCAGGAGCGGAACTCTGAATCCACTGTCTTTTCCTTTAATAAGAAAAAATAAAAGTGAAAGGCAAGTAGAAAATTCTCTATCTCCACAACTGTGCATTTAAGACTATATTGAGTTAAAAAAAAATGAGGAGCTGGGTGTGGTGGTTGAAGCCTGTAATCCTAGATACTCAGGAGATACACACTGGGCTGGGCCAGGCAACAAATTAGCAAGATCTCATCTCAATGAACAAACTCAGTGTGGCGTTCTACACCGATCAGCCCAGCGAAGCAGGAGGTATAGACAGGAGGATCGTAGTTCCAGCTGACCTGTGCATGAGGCCAGACTCTATTAAAATATAAGATAAACCACAGAGATTTGAGGAGTGGTACAAAGTGGTGTAGCACCTGTCTAGCAGGCCTAAGGCCCTGAGTTCAAACCCCATTGCCAGAAGGAAGAAAGAAAGACAGAAAGGGAGGAAGGAAGGAAAGAAGGAAGGAAGGAAGGAAGGAAGGAAGGAAGGAAGGAAGGAAGGAAGGAAGGAAGGAAGGAAGGAAAGAAGGAAGGAAGGAAGCAAGGAAGGAAGGAAGGAAGGAAGGAAGGAAACTTAAAATACATTATCTTTGAAGGAAGAAGCCACACGACCATCATGGATGGTCACTAGGCAGTATCTAGACATGGATTTCTTTGTGGGCTTGTGTTCTGACATCCAGATGCTTCCTGGAGGATCCCCCAAGCCAGGAAGGTTCCAGAGTCACGGGAGCCACAGCTGTGGTGGCTCTTCAGCCCGGCCTCCACGTGGAAGGAAGGCTCCGCTCCCATCTCTATTTCTCAGCCTTAGGAAACGCCGTGGCGCGAGACAAATAGAACCATGGCCTCTGCCTGTTTCCAATACTCTGACTGGTGTGCCTTGACCAATGCATCCCTTAGTGCAGTCTAGGAGTGTCCTGGGGTTCTGCGAGGTCGGCTTCTCGGGACTTTATAATACTATTGCGTAGGTCGGAGTATTATGCCTCTGGAAGCACTCCCGGGCAGCTTCAGCGATGGGATGCAAACATGGCACAGTACTGGCCGACCAGGGGTGACGACCCACTAATCAAGCCTCAGAGAAGGTCTGTCAACGACGTGATGCGCCTTGCTGCTGCGTCAGCCTCTTTATCTGAGGCGATGTGGGAGCACACTTCCTGCGGGGCGCAGCAGGGGTGTTTCGGGGCGCGCAGATGTCAACGCGCGGGGCCCTGCGTGGCAGGAAGGACGGAGGCGGTGGCTGATATCATCCAGACAGCCTGGAAACCGGCACAGCTCGGCCGGCAGCTTCCACCCTCAGAGCTGGGCAGCCCCGCAGGTGGAGGCTCGCGCCCTTAGATTCACGAGGTAAAGGCGGATTCCCAAGCCAGGGAGCGTCTGGTCTTTGTGGTTGTGTATTTGCACGATCCTCGTTAAATTGCTCGGGTCATCTTTTAACCTAATCATTCCAGCTGCAGAAAGGAAGTGGTCTTCTGTGGCCTTTGGATACGCCCTTACCCAGGAAAGAGACGGAAGAGACATAAAGGGGTTGTGGACTGTGTCGATCGGCCTGTACAGTGTGTAGACAAGTCCTAAAGTTGATGGCAATCAATATTTCACACCAAAGATCATACATCAGGATTGGCACGCCGGGCCTGAGATCTCGCGTGGACACAATCTGATAGAGCCGCTCCGACCCCAGTTGACTTGCTCCTCGTCTCTGGGACCCCCCGTTTGCTCCGGGACTAGAATATATCCACTTCCCAGACCTAACTGTATGCTGCTTAAAGCTGAGCTAGGAAGGCTGAGAAGAGAAGGGGAAAAGGTCAGGAAACCTTCGCATTTCCCGCCCCCACCTCCCACAAGTAACTCTTTTCCTCCTGTTTTGTGTTTTCTTCTCAGAATGCTATTCAAAAATAAAAGGACAAATGTAGTCATGCTCATCATCTCAGCTTTTGGAAGATAGGAAGATCACAAGTTCAAGGCCAGCCTGAGCTATATAGAAAAGGTCCTGTCTCAAAAAAAGAAAGAAAAAAAGCCTTCCAAAACTCTATTTTTTTTTTTTTTAGCTGTACCAACAATAAGAAAATGAAGTAGAGAGAGTTAGTTGAGGGGAAGCCAGAAAGTATAATCAAGGGGGTGAATATGAGGAAGATATATACATGGATGGAATATCACAATGAGCCCCCACTGTACAATTAATGTGCACTAATAAAAATGTGAGCACACACACACACACACACACACACACACACACACACACACACAGAAATAGAAACAAAAGACAAAAGGCATCTTCCAGGAAATACGCTAAGGAGTGCAATCTGGTCTAATTTGCTATTTAGAAAACGCTTCTGCTGACGAAGGATTTGAGACTCAGGGAAAGTAAGCAACAGACCCAAGACCGCACACCCAGTAGAAGTTGAAATGACTTGTGACGCTTCACGGCTGCACGTCGAGAGAACTCATCCTAACTTGCCAAGACCTCCTGGATTTTAGCCCCGTGAGCTCTGTGCCCCAGGAGATCCCTGAGCCCTGGGTGGGTGGGTGGGTGGGGTGGGGGGAGATGGGTGGTTGATCCCGCCATTAACCGGGGGTCCCCCGTACCGTTAGCCATAACTGTTCTTGAGACACTCAAATGAAGAAGACCGTCAATGAACACTGAAGGCGATGTTTGATTCTCTGGTGGTGGTAGCCACGCCAGTGCCATGTTCTGTGTTGAAATTGGAATGGGCTGGGTCTAAAGCCCAGACAGAAAAAGCAAGCAAACAACAACAACAACAACAATGAAATAATGTGTACACCTGCGGGCCTGATGCTGAGTAGCAGGAACTTTCTGCAAAACAGAAAGGGGGCCCGGCTGGGGAGAGGCAGCCTGGAGGAGGCTCAGGACAATGCAGGCCTGTGGTAGCCGGTGCTGTCCTGACTCAGCTTGCAGCGCTTCCCAGGCCGGCATAACCTGCTGGAGCACTGGGCATCCGCTGGGGGATTGGTCCCCTCCCCTGGGAAGGTGATTATCAGCCAGCCAATCAGGAGCACTGTCTTCTTGTCAGAGAACAATGGACATGGCAGGTTGGAAGACTGGAGTGGGGTAAGCTTGCCTCCTGGACAGAACAAGCCCCCCGCCCTCCGTGGGGACCCCACGGGTGAAACACAGAGACGCGGGAGAGGGAGGAGAGGGGAGAGAGGCCGCTCTACCCCAGGCTCCTGAGGCCCACGGCCTGAGAAAATGCATTTTGCTGCTTCCCCGTTACGCGCCTGCGTGGTAAGTCCACACCTTTCCTCATTTCAAATGTCCACTCCCATCAACCCTTGCTACCCCGGCCCCGTTCTCAGGTCATTCGTATCGTTGCGAACTTAAAAAGAACAACCACAAAAAAAGCTCATTTATAAAGAGGCTGAGAACCTTCCCCAAACGGAATGCAGACACAGCTCATGGACGTGGACAGCAACCACATGATATAGTTTGGTGACAAACTATGTGGTTCTCCTCATTTTCTTTCTTTTTTTTCTTTTAAGCCAATCATGTTCTAAGACCAGCAACGTTAAAACTGCACAGCTCCGGTGGAATGAAAACTCAATTTGCCCTGAAATACCATTTCCTTGTGCTCATGGCTTAACTAAAATATAAGCTTCTTAGTAAGGATTTTTTGTTTTTCCAAGTAGGGTAAGACGCTGCACCCTGAATTCCCAGCACCACCGCATCCAGGGGAATGTGTGAGTTTGAAGCCAGCTGGACCACATAGTGAGACCCTATCTTAAAAATCTAAATAAATGACTATCAACCAGTTGCAGTGGCTCATGCCTATAATCCCATGCCTATAATTCTGAGAGGATTGCCATTTTAGGCCAGCTGTAGCAAGGAGTTCAAACAAAAGCTCAGTACCGCGGCGTGTCCCTGGTACGGGGAGTGGGGGGGGGGAATGTAAACAGGAGGATCGAGGTCTAGGCCAGTCCAGGCAAAAACATCTAGAACCTATCTGGAATGTCATAGGTCTAAGGGTGAGGGGGCGTGGCTCCAGTGATAGAACAATCTGCCTGACAGGAGAAAGTTCAAACTCCAGTACTGTCAAATAAAAAACTGAGCAAATGGAAAATACACGGCTGGCAATTATCTGGGGACTCTTGGGCGCCTGCAAGTTGGCACCTGTACGTCAAAGGACACATGAGCACACCACACCTCTATCTCAAATCTTCCTCCAGGTGGATTTTGAACCAGCATCAGGGAATTCCCTATGCACCCCAGTCCAGCCTAACAGGTTTTTAGGGGTGCCCCAGGGCAATGCGATTCCATTTCTGCAGAAGTGTTTTGTGCGTTGCTGTGAGAAAAGATGAACAATCTCTCCAAGCCAGAGAGAGCCCCTGATGGTAATTAGATTGATGCCATTCCCAAACTGGGTGCAGTTCCCAGACTGTCCCGAGGTAGCCTAGGCTAAGAGTGGATCGATACATAAGAGCAGTTTTGTCACTCAGCCAGAAGAGGCAAGCATCCCAATAACCCATTCACATTTCCCAGTCTAGGTGTGGGAGAGGGTTGTGTCTCCGATTA